TGTACATAGGTGGCCCTTAAATTGATCATCTATGGATATGGGTGCATGGCTGCATTCAGTAAGGGTAAGAAAAATACAATAGAAATGCCAAATTAAAGTTTGTGAGGATGATTCTCTTTTCAGTAAATAGTTTTAGGTTGATGGGTTAATGATGTATAGAAAGTTACCTCTACATCAAATCATATAGAAATCATTAAAATATATTATAAATATCATTGTAATAGATTAATAAAAACACCTAGCAAAGTATAGAAACTACATTGACAACTACAAATTAGCTAACCATTTCTTAAAAATATAAGAAGTTTTAACAACAAAAGAGAAAAAAGTGATGAATAAAACCATACTTTTTGTGTGAAGCTGTCAAGAAAACATAGACTAACTAAAACACATATATTTCATAATTCCAGAATGTAAAGACCACTCTCTTACATAAATGAAAGATAGAAAATAGACCCTAGATACTATTGTTACTTTCCAAAGTGGACATATTCTGCACTACTCTCAGCCTTCCTTAGAGAATTTTTTCTTTCACTGGCCAGAAATTAATGTAGACTCATTAACTGGTCAATGTACTGAAACAGTTGTTGAGTGGTCAATCCTAATGTCTTTATCTACAGAGCTCTGGGAACATTGCTAAAGAGGGACTGGAATGAATGGAAGACCCTTCTGGGGAGGAGAGCTATGACATGGCCGTGTGACATAGCCAGGGCACTAATAAATGCAAAATAGCTGTGGTTACTTGAACAAAACCTGCACAAGATTCAGCCCACAGATGTGGATAGAACTGCTGAGATCCCATCAGGGATTATGGGTAGTTAATGTTTGATAGGAAGGGAGTTGTCATTTTCTTCAGTGGTGTAGCCACTAAAAAGCTGCCCATTTTCTAAGAAATGAACTCCCACCAAAGATGGTGCCAGCAGCCCCACTTTACCTGTGTGGTAGGTTAAAGAAAAAGAGACACATGGATGTAGAACTGTTGGGAAGAAGGGGGTCTTAGGGAAAGAGACGTGAGAGGTGATGGGGATGAAAATGCCAGTAAGTTCTCAAAACACTTAAAATCAGTGAAAGATTTAAATAGGCATTTGCTAATACTTTTTAAAATTAAATGATTTATAATTTACTATTTCCTTTTGGGGGTGGGGGAACCAATGAGTTTATTAGACTTTCTTACAGAGCATAGGGGCAGAAACCCTTTCCTTTTTTTTCTCCATTTTTTAAAATTTAAATTAGAAACAAGATTGTTTTACATGCCAATCCCAGTTTCCTCTCCCTTCCCTCCTCCCCTGCCCACCACTAATACCCTACCTATCGCATCCCCTTTCTGCTCCCCAGGGAGAGTGAGATCTTCCATAGGGGATTTCCAGAGTCTGTCATATCCTTTGCGATAGGACCTAGGCCCTCCACCTGTTTGTCTAGGCTGAGGGAGTTTCCCTCTATGTGAAATGGGCTCCCAAAGTCCATTTCTATGCTAGGGATAAGTACTGATCTACTACAAGGGGCCCCATAGCTTCCCAAGGCCTCCATACTGGTATCCACATTTGTGGGGTCTGGATCAGTTCCATGCTGGTTTCCTAGTGATTAGTCTGGGGGCCAAGAGCTCCTCCTTGTTCAGGTCAGCTGTTTCTGTGGGTTTCACTAGCCTGGTCTTAACCACTGTGCTCATCACTCCTCCTTCTCTGCAGCTGGATTCCAGTTCAGTTCAGTGTTTAGCTGTGGCTGTCTGTTTCTACTTCCATCAACTGCTAGATAAAGGCTCTAGGATGGCATAAAAGTTAGTCATCAATCGCATTATCAGGGGAGGGCATTTAAGGTAGCCCCTCCACTGTCACTTAGATGGTTAGTTGGTGTCATCCTTGTAGATCTCCAGACATTTCCCTACTGCCTGATTTCTCCTTAAACCTATACTGGCTCCCTCTCTGATGGTATCTCTTATTTTGCTCTCCTCTATTCTTCCCCCTACACAAACTTCCTGCTCTAACATAAACTAAAACTTATTTTAATTGACTTAAAAAAAACCAGTAAACCAAGGCCTTAATATTATGCAAAGTAAATAACCCAGAGTAACTGAAAACCAATGGACTATTTTAATTGAACAGGAAAGCATTATATGAGAAAATATCCAAGCTATTCATTCCGGTGTCATATATGGCTGTTTGCACTATGGTGGTGGAGTTAAGTACCAAAGACAGACTACAAAGCTTGCAGAATACCAACAACTTAATCTGTGTCACTTTATGGAAAGTATGTGTTCTCTCCTTGGTCTATCAAAAGAAGCATGATATAAACCTAGACCCAGAATATCTGGGTGACAAATGAGAGGGCAATATTTCCTAACTTCAGTTTCTCATCATCACTGAATTTTATGTTTTGTATTTTTTTGACTTCTGCAGACTTACCGACTTGCTGTAGCCTGGTACAATGTTATTATATGTCACTTTTTCTAGTAAGTTTATGACCTTGACACAAGCTACCATTATCCTCTATTCTTTCTTTTCTGCTTCACATTTTTGCCATTTGCAAATATTTGCCTCAAAATGTTTTCATTACTATTCCTGTAAAATAAATATTTACATATATTTAAAATAATTTCTTTACTTTTCATATTCTGCACTGAATCTCTTTTCTTTGCCTAAAAATGTATACCATGTTTCAAAACCAAAACCCTTGGCAAAGCCACTGAAGTTTTACAATAGCTATGAGCTTTTATATTTATCTTTATTGTTTCTTTGGTTACATTTCATTAACATATTTATTTTTATTATCTGGATACTTTTGACTATAAGGCGTTCAAGATGGACATTTATTTATAATTCATCCTTAAAACATCATCAGACCTTCTCCTAGCTTCCTCTGATTTGTTATACTATTTATCATCCCCACTTCCTTGCTCTTACCAGATAACGGTTTGGTTTTGTCTGGCTAAATTAAGATTTGGGGTGTGAATTTAATCTTCAGTGATTATATTATGTTTGCATAAGACTTTAATTGGATTTCTCTCTCTGAACAATGCCTAGACAATCTTTTAACAATTATGAAAAAAATGTAAGTATTTAAACAAATGGCTGCACTGCATTTTTCCCCCTTGATGAGTTATGACTGCATGTGTGTTTCTAATCCACGAGGGCTGAGAGTTCCTTTATGCTGTCTTCTATGTTTTGCATCCCATTTTGAAATCATTTTTACTTCAACGTAATCTGTAGAAGTTTAAGTTTAATAACTTAGCTCAGTCTACTTAGTTGCTAACTCTACTGGTCACTTGATTTAATGATTTTGAACCTTACTTTGTTCTTATGATGAATATCCACACTTTTCGCATAGACTTTGAAACGTTCCTTGCTTCTCTGCATAACTAATTTGAAATTGCTAACCTGAAAACTTCAATCTGTAGCTCATGTTTTTGTCAGCTTTTGAAATCTGTTCTCTCTTTTGTATCCTTCTGTAGGGTTCTATGAGTTCAACATTTTAAATTTAAATTATGGAGGGTCCAGAATAACAACAACACAGAGAGAGACACACAGAGACAGACAGATGAGACAGAGAGAGAGAAAGAGAAAGAGAGAGAGAAATGGAGGGAGTGCTCTAAATCCAACAAAGGCTAAAATAAAATTGTGGATATTTCAGCCAGGATCTGTCACCATTTCCTAGTCTATAGTAGACATTTCCTTGTCTGTTTTAATTAAAGAGAGTATGCTTCTTAGTAGGTTTTGAAATTTGTTAGTTATTTTCTTCCTACATTGATATGGGAAATTTTTGTAATTTATAAGTAATTCAGTTTTGTCTCAGAGGAAACTAATCCTGGAAACTTCTGGAGTGAAAAAATAGCAACCGTAGAGTAATCAAACTCTATGCTCATCTCTGTATCCTCTAGCATGGGGTCACCACAGCTGTGTTCATTAACTTCTCCAAATGTGGTTGATACTTTTGGAAAACAAAATAAAACAAAGTACAAAGAAAACCCATTTTCCCCATAGTTTTCTCCGGAATAGTGATCCCTTATTGTCTCATGTTTTATTACATTTATTTAATTTATACCAGTATTTCATTACCTTTAGTCTTATCAGCTTAATTGTGGGACACAGATACATTAAAACTGGAAATATTTTTTTGGAGAAAATTAATATACACAGGGATGCACATACACTTTTTATCTGTATATCCATCTCTCTCTCTCTCTCTCTCTCTCTCTCTCTCTATATATATATATATATATATATATATATATATATAGTACATTATATAATACATTAGTATATATATGTACTAATGCATCTGAGACTTGGGAATCATTGCAAAGGAGAGGAAAGATTACAATAGATCAGGAAATTCACTGTGAAATCATGTCTCCTAGAGATCTCAGAATCTACACCTATAAACTCTCATCAACATGATTAGATATAAGTTGAACAAGAACAGCACTAATATAGAAAGGGGGAGCTAATGAGGCTTCAACCCTATACAAAGAACTGCAGGCAGCCAAGGAATTCTGAGTGTGAAGATATTTTTAATGAGCTGTTACTAAGAAAAGATATATTTTCTTATTAATTTTAGGCAGCTAAATATAATAAAATCTCTCTCCCTCTATCTCTCTCTGCTTCTCTCCCTCCTTCTATGTATCATTTAAAAAGTCCACACGTATCTGAAAAATCACAGAGAAATGCATAAAAACATATCTCTTAATGAAAAAGTAAGAGACTAATAAAATTATGCAAAGGTAAAATCTACAATGAATACCTTTTAATATTAATATGTACAGGTTAATTAAAAAACAGTTCACACTTGATGGCAATTCACAGATCATTACAAAGACACTAGTAAAATTATCTGTAAGCTGTCACAGATTCCAGTTGAAAATGACAAAGAAGATGGTCATGTCTTGTTTATATTTATCAGATAGTTTAGCATAAAGTTGAAAATTATGAAGATCTTTAAGAATTCCTTATGTAAAGAAACTTGAGGATACTTCTAGCAATACAGCAGATAAGAGTCAACATTCTTCCTTAGTAGAAGCCATAAGACCAGTATCTTCTACAGCACAGAGGGCGGCAACAGCCATAACCATAGCCACCATAGCGGCAGCCATAGCCACAGCCATAGCCATAGCTCAGGCCTCCATAGTAGCTGCTGTAGTAACACATGGTGTCAGGAGTGCACTGTTCAGAGGAAGACCAGTAGTGGGATCCTTGGGTCTAGGTTTCCTTGTCTTCCAAGGGCCTTTTATACACCTGGGTGTTTGGCAGGGAAAACCACAGGCATTGCAGATCACACATATTTCCTGTGTGCTTCAGAAAACATCAGCATGCCTTGGTTTACTGGACAATCAAAGCTGCATAACTGAGAAAATTGTGCTCATATGTCAGGATCCCATGATCAAATTCTGGTACTGTTTTGATTACTCTACCTCATTTGGATTTAGTTTATTTATTTAATAGTCATGAAACTCTTATTTGTTTCTTTACTAATCTTTGAAATAGCCCCCTCACTTTTTATGTCTGTTTTGTATTTTCTTTT